CGGTGGCTGGGCCTGAAGGGTGGTTAGCAGGCAAGGGAGATAGCAGGGAGAGTGAAGAGGTAACGGCGGCCATCTAGGCCAGGGGTCAGCAAACTTCTGCAAAGAACCAGCTGGTAGGTAGCTTCAGCTTTGAAGGTCGGACTGCTTCCATCTCAACTACTCAGTCTGCTGCAGTGAATGAACATGGCTGCATTCCAGTAAAACTTTATTTACACAGACGGACGACAGGCCAGAGGAGGCCTATGGGTTGTAGTTCGCCACTCTGTGGTCTAGGTGGGAGCCGATAATGGCTTGGACCTGGTGGGGGCAGCAGAGGAGGCGAGAGGGGTGGGAATGTGGGTGTGTGATGAGCGGAGGGTGGGCGGGACTTGCCGATGGGGGTGGGGCGTGAGGGAAAGCGGGGCATCTGGAATGACCCAAGACACACTCAGTTCCCAGTCCGGGGCTGGTGCACAGTAAGTGATCGGCATGTGCGTATGCGAATCAGCCCAGTTTGCTATTTCATGCTTACTCACCTCATCTTTATCCAGTGACATGGTAGGTACCTTGAAGGCAAGAGCCACACACTCTTGACCCGTTCGTTGTCTGACACAGTTCAGCCCACAGGAGGTGTTTTCATAACCTTCAGATGAATGGATCTTGAGAGCACAGGCTGGAAGGACGGCCACCTCTTGGGTCCAGGTGCTGCCTCCTCTTCCCCTCCAGGCCTGGGACACTGCATTAGTTTGCTGGGGCCACCATAGCAAGGTACCGCAGACTGGGTGGCTCAAATAACAGAAATTACTGTCTCACAGTTCTCGAACTGAGAAGTCCAGGGTCAAGGTTGGTTCCTTCCGAGGGCTGTGAGCGAGAATCTGCTCTGACCTCCCTCCTAGCTCCCTGGTGGTTCACACGTTCTCTGGCTTCTGGATGTGTCACCCCACTTCTGTCCTCATTGTCACATAATGTTCTTCCTCTGTGTGTATCTGTCTCTGTGTCCACACTTCCCCGTTTCATAAGGACACAGTCATATTAAGATTAAGACTCACATTAATGACTTCACCTTAATGTGATCGTCTGCAAAGAACCTATTTCCAAATAAGGTCACATCCACAGGTGCTAGGTGTCAGGACTTCAGCATTTTGGGGGACACAGTTCAACCCATAACAGGCATGTTCCTGTGCTCTCTGCTTCCTTTTCTCCTCCAAAGGTGGGATGGCAGCAGTTTATGTAAAGCGCAGAGCATAGTTTCTGGCACAAAGTGCTTAATAAACATTAGCTTCTGGCTGGGCATGGTGGCTCATGCTTGTAATCCCAGCAGTTTGGGAGGCTGAGGTGAGAGGATCACTTGAGCCCAGGAGTTTGAGACCAGCCTGGGCAACATAGCAATACCCTGTCTCTACAAAAAAATCAAAATAATTAGCCAGGCATAGTGGTGTATGCCTATAGTCCCAGCTACTTGGGATGCTGAGGCAGATGGACCATGTAAGGCCAGGAGGTTCATTCTGCAGTGAGCCTTGATTGTGCCACTGTACTCCAGCCTAGGTGACAGAGTGAGACCCCTGCTCAAAAAATGTTAGCTTTTATCCAACGTTAGATCGTCTCCTTCCCAGTGAGAAATTTTTAATTAATTATTTTTTCAAAAGCAATACATGTATAGCAGCTCTTTTAGAAGAGGAAGAGGGGACATGATCTGATTTAGGGTTCACCACGACCCGTCCAGCTGCTGAATGGTGGCTGGCCTGGAAGGCTACCCTACACTTAAAAAAAAAACAATGCATACACATATCAGTCTCATGGTTTTTAAATGAAAGCATTGCTCACCAACCCAATCCCAGTGCCTCCTACATGGAACTAATGCTTCTAGCCAGATGTGTGAGCTTCTAGAGTTTTCTTTTTCCAGTCATGTATTATATTATAAATTCACATTAAAATCTCATATTCTAATGGGGTTTTATAAACATACACATGACATCATCCTGGCTGTCTCATCCTAGAGGATGTCTTGGAAACATTTCCATGTGCTAACCTACACATCCACCCCATTCTTGTGAACCGCCCAGTAGGGTTCCCCTGAATGGATATACCACATTTTACTTAGCAGTGATCTCATCAAGGAACTTCAGGTGTTTTCCAGTTTCTCGCTGGGATGATGGACATCCTTGCACAAGGCTCTTTTGCAGGTGTATCTCTGTGTCAGAAGGTAAAAATCCTTTGGGGCAGGGATTGCACCAGGGCCTGGTCCTCGGTGTCGAGGCCATGGGAACCTTTCCTCTGTCTCTGCCTGCCTGTTCCGCTCAGACCAACCACCCCCCTCCCCGCCCCGAACAGTCACCCAGGGGAGCCCAGAAGCACCCTGGGGCCAGTGTGGACAGTCTCCTCTCCGTCTTAGAGGCTGGCCCTCGTACCCTAGAGAGGCGCAGCACTGGGGTCGAGGAGGATTCTCTTCCCCAGAAGCTCACTCCATCTTCAGCCCTCTGAGTGGTCCAGCTCCCGCACTGCGGCTCGGGGGGGTAACTCGATCCAGGTCAGCTGGTGGAGTATGAGGTAGCGTCTAGCTGAGCGCCACGGTATTTTATTAAGTCCGAAATGTGATCGCTACTGTTGTCACACGTTAGCGCCCCCACAAGCCCCTTGCAAATGAGAAAAGCAGAGCTTCCCAAATGCCTTTCCCCTGACATCAAGGGAGGCACATGGAGCCCTGCCCGGGGGCCAGAGCCCGGTGACCCCCGGAGTGGCTTTAGCTTGAGGGGGGGCCGGGAGAGGTGTTTTTCCCATTTCAGGCAGAGCGGTGCACGGATGGAAATCCGTTCACATTGTTCCCTCTGCACCTGGGCCTGGGAAGGCAGCGTGGCCTCAGTGCGATTTTCATTGGCATTTCGGGCCTGCTGGTCCTAGGCTCTTCCATATATATAAGACAGCTATGAGACCGGGCACAGTGGTTCACATCTATCATCCCAGCACTTTGGGAGGCTGAGGCGAGAGGATTGCTTGACCACTGACGTTTGAGACCAACTGGACAGCATAATGAAACCTCGTCTCTACAAAAAAATTTTAAAAATTAGCTAGGCATGGTAGTGTGCGCCTGTAGTCCCAGCTACTGGGAAAGCTGAGGCAGAAGGATCACCTGAGCCCAGGAAGTAGAGGCTGCCGTGAGCCATGATCATGCCACTGCACTCCAGCCTAGGCGACAGAGTGAGACCCTGACTCAAAAAAAAAAAACCCTTGGCTGTGGGTCAGAAGTCTCAGACTCGGATGTCTACAGGGGCCAAATAACCAAAGTGAAGTAAAGTGAGCCAGAAGAGGCCCAGGCCGAAGCAGGAGGCTGTGGTTTCACCACGAAAGCTTGTGGGGTTTATGCCAACCCTGGGTTGCCAGAGGGTGCAAATTCCAAGAGGAACTGAAAATCCAGAGCGAGAGGAGCCGTGGCCTGAGCACCGACCCAGATGGCAAGAGATATACCCTGTTCTCGCATTGTCACAGGCCATCTGCACTCCACGATGGAGATGGAGTTGCGGGGATTGGCATGTGTCGTGGGGACATTGTCACATCATGACTCTTGGCTACAAAAGTGACAAGGATCCAACCCACGAGCTTACAATGAAGAGTCCGCGCATCCGTGTCCTGTGGCCTCTGTAACACATGGCCACATGCTCAGTGGCCTCAGGCCACACAACTGTGCCCCCTCAGTCCTGGAGGCCGAGTTCACATCAGCGTTGCACGGTTGCGGGGACTGGCAGGGCTGGCTCCTACAGAGACTCCTAGAGGAAAGTCTGTTTTTTTGCCCTCTTTTTCACCTCATGGCCGCCTGGCTATCTTGGCTGGTGGCCCCTCCTCCATCTCCAAAGCACATTACTCCAGTCACCTTCTCCTGGGCAGTCACTTGTTCACTGCCTCTCTCATACAAGGACCTGTGTGATTACACTTAGGGCCACCCCGGTCATCCAGGATAAACTCCCTACCTCGAGAGCTCTAACTGACTCACACGTGCAAAGTCTCTTTGGCCACATAAAGTAACATATTCACAGGTTCCGATGATTGGATGTGGACATCCTTGGGGGTCCGTTATTCAGCCCCCACACTCAGGATAGCCTAGCTCTATTGTTACTGGACCAGGGGATCATGTGATCAGGCCTCTTCTCTGTCTCCAGCCCTCAGACCTGCTTTCCTCGGCTGCTCCAGGCTGAAAGCAGCCCAGCAAAAGGAGACAGTTTCTTCACCTCTTTCCCAAAAGTCCCAGCCAACCCCAGGGGCTGTTCTCACCGTCACCTGAGACTACATGCTCATTTCTGAAGCAGTCACAGGGACAGAGGGATCCTGGGCCTCTCTGATTAGTCGAGCCTGGGTCATGTGACCCACTTCATCACCCCACCCCATCCCCTGGTCCTAACCCACAGAGAGAAGTGTCCCCCACCCAGAGAAAGCAGAGCGGCTTATGAGTAGTGGGAAGCAACTGCCGTTGGAGTTCACTGAACTCAAGTCCTTGGGGTGCTGTCTGGCACATCGTAAGTGCTCAGTAAGTGATGATCACGGTCGCAGGACACAGATGGTGTCCTTCCAGGGGCTAATGCCTGAGGAATACGGGGCTCACTAGGCAGACGAAGGCAGGAGAGCATTCCAAGCAGAGGAAACACCGAGATCAAGGCAAAGGCTTCCACTGTGTGGCCCAGCGACCACATGGCGGGCATACCTGGGAGCTGGAAGTCCCAGTTGGCATCTGTACCCGCAGTGTAATAGTAATAGCCTCCCTGCTTTTCTTGCAAAGCGATCTCGGTTTGGATGATTAATTACATGGTCACTTTCCTTACAGTCAACCTGCTCTCTTACAAGAAAATCAAAGAGGATGAGACACCCTAAAGGCATCCAGTCTTGAGTTACCACGTCCAGACTAGAACTCAAGACTGCTGCTCCCCCATGCAATGTTCAACCCCCTCAGTTTAAGAAGCCCCCTCTTAAAGGCTGCAGCAGATTAACCAGGCACGTTTCTCTCTCTCTTTCTCTTTTTGTCAAATTCTCCATAGGATTGTGACCAGATCCACGTTGATGACGTCTCGTCAGATGACAATGGCCAAGATTTAAGGTGGGAATTTGGAGAATCCAAACTGTCCCTTGATTGACTGGTGATCAAGCTCGCCTCCAGTTGGAAGTGGGGTAGGAGGGGAAAGCAGCTTCTCAGGAAAAGATGTGCCTGCCTCCAGCCAGAACTGGGCCTTCCCGAAACACAAAACTCACACCTTTGACCCTCCCCCTCTCCCCTCACAACCTCTTTCCATCACCTCAAATTGCTGAAATCTGTTTACCTCTATTTTTTCACAGCTTACTAAAGTAAAACGTGCATATTAGAAAAAATTCATGGCCAAGGACAGTGGCTCAAGCCTATAATCCCAGCACTGTGGGCGATAGAGTTGGGAGGATTGCTTGAGCCCAGGAGTTCAAGATCAGCCTGGGCAATATAGCAAAACTTTGTCCCTACTAAAAATAAAAACTAAAAAAACTAGGTAAGTATGGTGGCGCCAGCCTGTAGTCCCAGCTACTCAGGAGGCTGAGACCGAAGGATCACCTAAGCCCAGAAGGTCTAGGCTGCAGTGAGCCATGATGGTGCTACTGCACTCCAGCCTCAGTGACAGAGTGAAACCCTGACTCAAAAATTAATAATAATAATATGCTGACCCTGACCCCCACCTCCTGAAGCACCACCATTAAGAGTTTGACATACAGTCTTCAAAGTCTGATGGCATTCATTAACATACATATATTCAGTACAACAACTGATACAGTCTGTACTCAAAAAAAGCTGTTTCTCAGGTGAATAAGTAAGTGGAGTGTCTGAATTCTAGGGGAAAATCCTAGGCTATGGTCTCCAGAAAACTCTTAAAACGAGACAGTTTCCAGGGGAATGTGACTGGAATGTTCCAAGCCTACCCTGGAAAAGCTTTTTAAAAACGGAACAGAGTTAATCTGCGCTTATCCAAAGTTATCACAATTCAGCACCTCATGGCCCGTCAAAAGTATTATTAGACCCAGTGACTGCTGTGTTATAGGACCCGTCATTGTGACATCCCTTAGCACCTGCTTCCCAGGTGTGTGTCCCGACTGACTGCCAAAACAGAAATCCAGGCTGGTGTTACTGAGGCCTGCAAGTCTTTCCAGAACCCAGCCTGATCTGAAGTGGCCAGTAGGCAGATCCCTGCTTTGATTTAATCAGCTGTTCAGAAAGTCACTTCGGCAGTCAGGCCTGGCAGGGGACAGACTTCAGCCCCACCGGGGCCTCTCAGTGGCTGATGTAAATAAAGCCCAGGTTATATTGGCTGTGTCCATACCATGAAGCAATTCCTGTTCAAGGCCGTAAGCTACCATGGTTCTGATTTTTTTGTTTTGTTTTGTTTTTTGTTTTTTGAGTTGGAGTCTCACTCTGTCGCCCAGACTGGAGTGCAGCGGCCGCTCCCGGCCACCGCAGCCTCGACCTGCTGGGCTCTGGCGATCCTTCCTCCTAAGCCTTCCGAGTAGCCAGAATTACAGGCATGCGCTACCACACCCAGCTGATTTTTTAATTTATTGTAGGGATGAGGTCTCGCCTGCCCAGGCGGGTCTCGAACCCGCGGGCTCAGGCAATCCACTCACCTCAGCCTCCCAAAGGCGCGGGATTACAGGCTGAGCCACCAAGCCTGGCTGGTTCTGTTTTTATTTTTCATTTTATGTGTGTGTGAGAGAGAGAGAGAGAGAGACTGGATCTGACTTGTTGCTCAGGCCGGAGGGCAGTGAGGCGATCATGGCTTACTGCAGCCTCAACCTCCTGGGCTCAGGCAATCCTTTCACCTTAGCCTCCCAAGTAGCTGGAACTACAGGTGCATGCCACCACACCTGGCTCATATTTTTATTTCTTGTAGAGATAAGATCTTTCTATGTTGCCCAGTCTGGTCTCAAACTCCTGGGCTCAAGTAATCCTCCTGCCTCAGCCTCCCAAGTGCTAGGATCACAGGCGTGAGCCACCACACCTAGCCAATTCCATTTTTATAATGTTTCCCCCGTAGCTCCCTGGCATGGAGTTGAGAGCAGTATTCCTCTGAACCCTGTCTCATGCAGAGCTGCTCGGTACCTCACTTCAGGAATTCATATAGTTCACGGGTAATTTTTTCCCTAGAAATCAAATTCCCCACTTATTCACTCAAGAAGTATTTATTGAGTAGCTACTGTATGCTGGGCATCAAGCATCAAATGCCCCTTGTTTTGCTTTGTTTTCAGTTAGTGGTAAGAACCCACCTTCATAGAGCCCACATGTTATGCCATGCCTGTTCTGAATGCTTTGCGCAGGTTCGCTCACGGCTCTTCCCCAGTAACCCCAGGAGTAAGATGCTTTGATCATTGTTCCCATTTTACAGTCGGAGAAAGTGAGGCACAGAGAAGTTAGGCAGCCTGCCCAAAGTCACACAGCTGGTGAGTGGAGAAGGCAGGATTCAAATCCAGGCAGCCTGGCTCCAGGGGTCAAACTCCTAACAGCTTTTCTGTTCATCCTGGACACCCCTTCCCACCCTCCATCGCTTTTTCAAGTAAAGATAGCAAGATGGGAACTTTTACACTTATAGGAAGGACCACGTGGCAGGTAAAAGTGGGGTTCTGAGCAGAAGGATCTCTTGAGTCCAGGAGTTTAAAACCAGCCTGGGAAAGTTAATGAGACCTCATCTCCACAAGTAAAAATAAAAATAACTAGCTGGTGTGGTGGCACTCGCCTATAGTCCCAGCTATTCAGGAGGCTGAGGTGGAAGGATTATTTGAGCTCAGGAGTTTGAGGTTACAGTGAGCTTGAGTGTACCACTGCACTTCAGCCAGGACAGCAGAATGAGACCTTACCTCAAAAAGATAAGTGGGGCTCTGGAAGCCAAAGGACTACAATGGGATAGAGTCATGGCCCCTTTGTCATCAGGGTAAGAACATGCTAGAAAAGTGCCCAGTGCAGAATGTCCTTAACGAGCACCTCTCTGTGCCTGTGCTTAGATGTCTGCTCCCCTGTACCCATTGAATATATATATATATATATATATATTTTTTTTTTTTTTTTTTTTTTTTGAGTTAAAGTCTCACTCTGTCACCCAGGCTGACATAATCACAGCCCACTGCAGCCTCAGCCTCCTGGGATCAGGCAATCCTCCCGCCTCAGCCTCCTGAGTAGCTAGAGACACATGCCGCCACACACAGTCAGTTTTGTATTTTTTAGTAGAGATGGCCTTGCTATGTTGTCCAGGCTGATCTCTAAGTCTTGGGCACAAATAATCCTCCCGCCTCAGCCTCCCAAAGTACTAGGATTATAGGTGTGACCCACCACACCCGGCCCGATTGGATATAGTTCATTTCTCTTCAGCTCCCGCTCACCACCCAAGGGGGTGCTGGAAAGGAAGAAGGGTCTGTGTAATAAGCCCATTGGCTTTTTGGGGGGAGAAGAGGAAGTTTGTGTGCAAACACATTATTTGAACAGTCATATTGTATCCTTTAAGCATCTTTTTAAAATTTTGAGTAATTCAGTCACAAGCAGAGAAGAAACTATAGTCCCCCATATTCCACCACCTCCCGAGCTAACCACTTCCCAGCACCATGGCTTCCTTGCTTCCGATTTTACACACTCAAGCTCACGTGATGTCTGCAGAGTGGCACAGGTGAACTCATGGCTCTCTCCCTCTCTGTCTCACACACTCCTCGACGTCCGCCCACACATCCACACCGCCTTCAGTTACCCTAGAGAGAACCCCATGACCTGGGTGACTCAGGAAGAAGCAGACAGTCTCCCCGGCTCCATGCAAGTGCCAGGGACATCTGCAGCTCTCAGCAATTCTGACGCTGGAGAAACTTCCAACAGCATCGAGGGAGAGGCAGCAGTTCTGGAATGTTCTGTGGTTGCCTCCTTGGCGTTCTCGCAAAACCAAGCCCGTGTCTTTAACTTCTTTGGCAACTTCCTCTCCAAAACCCAGTCACTTCTCCCCTTTTCCTTGGAGGGGAAAGTAAAACTCGGCACTTCTTAGGGGCACAGTCAGTGTGAGTGTCACAGCCAACAGGCAACCTGGCTCCAGGGGTCAAACTCTTAACAGCCCTTCTGTTCATCCTGGATACCCCTTCCCACCCTCCATCGCTTTTTCAAGTATAAATGTAGCAAGATGAGAACTTTTACACTTACAGGAAGGACCACATGGCAGGTAAAAAGTAGGGTTCTGAACGGAAGGATCTCTTGAGGCCAGGAGTTCAAGACCAGCCAGGAAATTTAGCGAGACCCCGTCTCTACAAATAAAAATAACTAGCTGGCATGGTGGTACTTGCCTGTAGTCCCAGCTATTCAAGGCCAACAGGGTGCAGGCCACTTCTAGCTTTCCTGACACCCAGAACACTGAAAAATGAAGAAATGACAAAACCAAGTTAGAAAGAAAGGATGGTGTCCCATTTTTACCTTTAACAGATCGGCACTTTTAACATACCCACATAAATAATGTTTGTAGCATTTCTGACTGATGTGAAACATCAGAGTATCTGCAGAAAAATCACGTCACTACAAGATTCTTGAAAAGAATGCAGTTTGGCTGGGCTGGGTGGCTCAGCCTGTAATCCCAGCACTTTGGGAGGCTGAGACGAGTGGATTGCCTGCGCAACTTAGTGAGACCTCGTCTCTACGATAAATAAATAAATTAGCTGGGCATAGTAACATGCACCTGTAGCTCCGGCTACTTGGGAGGCTGAGGCAGAAGGATCACTGGAGCCCAGCAGATCGACGCTGGGGTGGCTGTGAGTGTGCCACTGCGCTCCAGCCTAGGCAATATGAGTGTGCCACTGCGCTCCAGCCTAGGAGTGAGACTCCAACTCAAAAAAAGAAAAGAAATGAACACCATTTGATAATAGTTGAGGTTTTTTTGTATTACTTGTAAGCTATAGATATTTTTTTGTTTTAATAAATGTCCTGGCCAGGCTCGGTGGCTCAGCCTGTAATCCCACGCTTTGGGAGGCTGAGGTGAGTGGATTGCCTGAGCCCGCGGGGTTCGAGCCCCACCTGGGCAACTTGGCGAGACCTCATCTCTACAATAAATCAAAAATTAGCTGGGCGTGGTAGCACTCACCTGTAATTCTGGCTACTTGGAAGGCTGAGGTGGAAGGGTCACCGGAGCCCAGCAGGTCGAGCCTGAGGTGACCAGGAGTGTGCCACTGCACTCCAGTCTGGGCAACAGAGTGAAACTCCAACTCAAAAAAAAAAAAACAAAAAAGAAATGTCCTGTCTGGCATGGTGGTTCACACCTGTAATCCCAGCACTTTGGGAGGCCGAGGTGGGAGGATTGCTTGAGCCCAGGAGTTTGAGACCAGCCTGGACAACATAGAGAGACCTCATCTCTACAAAAAAACATGCCACGCATGGTGGTGCATGCCTGGAGTCCCAGCTCCTTGGGAAGCTGAGGTAGGAGGATCGCCTGTGCCCAGGAGGTTGAGGCTGCAGTGAGCTATGATCATGCCACTGTGCTCCAGCCTGGGTGACAGTGAGACTCGACTCAAAAAAAAAAAGCTATAACCCTGTGCTCCCCAAGTGCATATCACAGCACTCTCTGTATGACCAGGAGACCTGTGGATGCCCTAAGCCCACGCATGGGTCCCCTGGGGCCTGGGGTCTCATAGTGATGACCCCCACCTCCACTGACACTGTCCTTCCCTCCCCTCCCAGCACATATAACTTCTCTGCGGATGGCTTCCACAGTTCGGCCCCGGGAACCAACCTGTGCCTGGGCTCGGGCGTCCACGGCGGCGTGGACTGGATGAGGAAACTGGCATTCCGCTACCGGCGGGTCAAGGACATGTACAACACCTACAGGAACAACGTGGGCGGTGAGCAGGGAGGCTGGCGGGCTGAGGTTGCTCCTGGGCGTGGGCCGGGTGCAGGCCGGACCTCTGGGTGAACTTCCCAAACTCAGTATCGGCTGGCTTAGTGCAGCCCTCAGGACCCCCTCTGGGCTCGGGTGTCTCATCCCCTCCACCCTGAGGGTGAGGAAGCGAGATCACACAACCTGGGAGGCGGAGCATGGAGGTGAATCCTTTTATCCACAACCAGAGGCTCTCAACATGTGGTCCTCAAGTCAGCAGCAGCCCTTTACCTGGGGGTTTGTTAGAAATGCAGATGCTAGACTAGGCGTAGTGGCTCATTCTTGTAATCCCAGCACTTTGGGAGGCTGAAGCAGGAGGATAGCTTGAGATCGGGGGTTTGAGGCCAGCCTGGGCAACATAGCGAGATCTCATCTCTACAAAAAAAAAAAAAATGTTTAGCCAGGGGACAGAGTGAAACCTCAATTCAAAAATAAATAAATAAATAATAAAGAAGGAAGAAAAGAAAGAAAAAGAAAGAAATGCAGATTCTAGGCCAAGTGCGGTGGCTCACGCCTGTAATCCCAGCGCTTTAGGAGGCTGAGGTGGGAGGATCGCTTGAAACCAGGAGTTCAAGACCAGCCTGGGCAACAAAGCGAGACCCCCCCATCTCTACAAAAATATTTTAAAATTAGTCAGGCGTGGCAGTGCACCTCAGGAGGCTGAGGTCTCTCTAGGTTGCCCGGGCTGGTCTTGAACTCCTGGGCTCAAGCAATCCTCCCACCTCAGCCTCTCAAGTAGCTGGGACTACAGATGTGCGCCACCACACTTGGCCCAGACTCTGAGTTTGTAACAAGACACCCAGGTGACTGAGGAGGCGTTGACATTGAAGAAGCATTAGAAGTCCCTGGTTCTCAAACTTGGCTCATGCTGGAAGCACCGAGGAGTTTGTGTTTTGTTGTTCTTGGCCACCGGCGTCAGGGACAGGGCAACTTCGGTTTTTGCACAAAGCAGGAAGTCTCCGGGGCTAGAGGCAGGACGACTGGCTCAGCAGTGGCCAGCCGAGCGTCTCTGTTTCTGGAACTCTCTAGACCAGTGGTTCTTAGCCAGGGGACGATACTGCGCCCACCCCAAGAGGAGTTTGGGACTTTTCCTGATTGTCACAGTACATGCCCATGAGGGAAGGGTTTGAGGAAGTGGCTAACAGTGTCTACGACATACACATTGGCCCCAAGAGTTTCCAGGACTCCCTCCCTACCTGCCCAGAAAGAGAAGAGTCTCAGTTCTCAAACTAGATAGAAGCCATGTCTAGTTCTAACTCTGCCATGTCTGGCTTTGTGACCTTAAGCAGCCTGCGTGTGATCATCTCAGTGAGCCTCAGTTTCTATATCTGTGAGGTGGAACAGTCTGGGCACGGTGGTACACACCTGTAATCCCAGCACTTCAGGAGGCCAATGTGTTCAAGACCAGCCCAGTTAACATAGCAAGACCCAGTCTGTACAAAACACATTTCTAAAAATTTGCTGGGTGTGATGGCATAAGCCTGTAACCCCAGTTACTTGGGAAGCGGAGGCAGGAGGATCACTTGAGACCAGGAGTTCAAGGTTACAGTGAGTTATGATTGCACCCTTGCATTCTAGGTGACAGAGCAAGCCCCTATCTCTAAAAAAAGAAAAAAGAAAAATTCCGCTTCCCTGGGTTATTGAGAACTGTATTGTCAACGCATAGAAAAGGCAAGACTCCATGCCTGGTATACAGCAGACTCTCGATAAGTGGTAGCATTCATCACTGTCCCCTCCTAGTTGTGCTTGGAAGCCTTGGACTTCCTGTCCTTTGCTTTCCCTGGCTAGCCAGTCAGTTTTTCGGGACAGATCTTGTCTTGCTTGTGGCCATGCTGGTGCATGCCTGTAGTCCCAGCTACTTGGGAGGCTGAGACAGGAGAATCAGTTGAGCCCAGGAGTTTGAGGTTATAGCGAGCCATAATTGTGCCACTGCACTCCAGCCTGGACAACACAGTGAGACCCCAACTCAAAAAAAGAAACAAGTCAGAGTTCTTGTTGCTGATGAGAAGATCCTTTTATATTTACATTTTTATTAATTACTAACGAGAAGAATGGATCGTGGCAGGCAACTCACAGCGTCTGCCACAAAGAGCAAATGAAACATCTCTGAGACCCAAGGAGTTGATGCTTTTCAGAAGACAGAGGCCAGTGTGGCTGGAGCCATGGGCCATGTGGCAGGGTGGGATGAGCGAGCTGGTGGTGTCCAGGTTGGGCAGACCCTGCAGATCCCGGGGAGGAGTCTGGACAGTGGGGCCTCAACGCAGAGAAGTTGGCATCTGAGCAGCCCAGGCACAGGTGGCCTCGAGTCCTAGGGAATCAACTTCTTCCAGCAAAGCTTGGGTCAGCACAGGGCATGGCCAGCCCTGCTCTTGTGCCTGGTACCATGGTGGGTGCACAAGACCGACGTGGTCCCTGCCCTCATGGGGTGAACAGCCTATGGCCGAGGCGGGTGTCAAACATGTTGTCACACAAATGGCAGCTGGGACAAGTGCCATGGAGCAGAGCTGCAGGGTGCTGGCGAGTGTGAACGAGAGGAGACGGACCCAGCCTGGAGCCATCGGGAGAGCCCTTCCAGAATAACCAGCATTTTAGAGGAGGCCGGAATGCAGAGTGTGAAGGCCTCAGCCAGGCAAAAAGAGGAGGCAAAGCGAGAAGAGTAGTCCAGGTTCTGAAATGAGACATGCAAAGGTCCTGAGGCAGGAACCCACTTGGTGATCCAAGGAGCAAAGACGGGGCTGCTGGGGCTGGAAGGGAAGAGCAGGAGTCGGCGGTGAGTTTGGTTCTTAATGGGGGTCGAATTCGAAGGGCACTGAAGGCCGGGAGAATGGCAGGTAGGTGGATCAACATCTGTGGCTTGGGCTCTGAGGTCAGCCGCTGGTGCCAGGCCCATCTCCGTTGTTTTCTCCTTACCGTGAGTAAGTTGGTCAACATCACAGAGACTGAGTCTTCACCTAAAAAACAGAAATAAAAACCACGTCCACCAGCAGGGCCACCGTGATGGGGCAATGAAATGAGTGACGTGAAAAACACAGGACCCTGCTCATAGTAAGCACTCAGTAAATGCTGGGCAGGGTGATTTTTATTTCAGTAGTAATTCTCTGCCTGACAATAGAAGCCCTACAATCTGCATGTTTTTGTTTATGTCTGTGTATTAGTGTCCATTACGATATCAGGCACCTAGAAGGCACTCCTGAATTCTTTGTTGGAAGGATAGGTGGGTGGATGGCTGGAAGATGGATGGATGGATGGATGGATGGATGGATGGATGGATGGATGGATGGATGGAGGTGGAGGGATGGGTGAGCAAAGTGAATGGATGGATGGATAGACAGATGGATAGGCGAGTGGATGGATGGATGGATGAACAAGTGGAGGGATAGGTGGGTGGGTGGGTGGATGGTTGGATGGATGCACGGACGGATGGACAAGATGGATAGAGGGATAGGTGAGCCAGATGAATGGACGAGTGGGTGGATGGATAGATGGAGGATGGGTAGGTGAATGGACAGATGGAGAAATAGGTAGGCAGACAGATGAGTGGATGAGCAGATGGATGGATATATGGACAGATGGATGGCTGGGTGGGGGG